CGCCGGAGGGGGCGGGGATAGGGCGGGCCTCGGACGGGGGCGGGCCCTTGGGTGCTTCCCACGGAGCCCGATTGGCCCGCGCCAGCTCCGCCCGCACCAGCCACGTTGGACGCGGGCAACCCCGCTGGGAGGCCACTCCCGGCCCCACAATGCACTACGTGGCGCGTCACTCGGAGCGGCGGGTCCCGGCGCGACAGGTACGGCCCGGCCCCTCTTTCCAGCCTCCTCGGGGGACCTCCGGGATCCCTGCCTGGCCGCTCGCGCCGCGCTCGGCGTCTCGTCCCGGCCTGACCGGTACTGCCCGAGCCGGCGCTGGGCCGCGGAGGCCGCGGAGCTTGGAAGGGCGAGTGTGCGGGTCCCGGGTCGCTGCGACCTAGGGCTGCCAGCCGCGCGGACGGCGGTTGCTGTGTGGCCAGGCCTGTCCCAGGATGGGCGGCCGGACTAGGGGCGACGGATGGGGAGTGCGGGCATCCCGGGGCAGCCAGTAAGAGGACTCCCTGGCCCCCGATGTCAGAAGCACACGGATTCACCCGGGCTTGTCGGTGGCCCGAGAGAGCTTGAGGTGGCACTCCTAGTTCCTTTTGGGCGGGGTAGCCTGTGCCAGTGGCATACCCTGCGATTTGTGGAGTCTGAATGGGCGCTGAGGTTGGAGATCGCCCACGCTGGCTCTGGGAAACCCCTTGAGGTCCTGTTTCATGGTCCTTTGCGACACTGTGTGGCAGAAAAGAGCCCGGAGCAAATTGGCTCCACAAGTGGGGATCTCCGGAGGAGGCCAAGCTGGAGCTTGCCTGAATCTCTCTGTCAGTAAAAAGCAGCCTAAGACTTGGTCGCCTGCTGCTTGGCTTCCGGGATATCAGCATCACCTGGAGTAGGTGGAACTCTTCAGAACCCGCCCGCCTGTGCTTATCTTAGGGCAGAGCCCGGTGTTCGTGGGCCGCGCTAGACGTGATCGAATCCCAGCTGATGAGCAGAACACCTGTTTTAAAAAACGGAATCACATCCCCTGTTACTGGTACCCACTCATTTGCCAGCACTTTGAGAAGTTAGGCGGTATCTCAAACATTTCTGAGAACTTCTGGTGTGTAGCGGAAGAGTCAGAACTGAATCTGACAGCCGTGACCATGTCCAAAGTGATTGAGGCGTTGGGCTTTTCCCACTTAAGACGATCACATCGGTTTAGTGCTTTATTTTTAGAGACCGCTTAAAGTTTATGTTTTAGGCTGGTGTATGAACTATCAACGAGTTTCCTCTCCGTGTAGTTAAGAAGTTTGAGTATGTTTAGAGGCAATGTTTCATGGAGTTGTTAGAATCAGACCCCCTACCTATTTGTCTAGGAGTTGAACAAATGCCTTAAACTCTTGGGACTTGTGTTTCCTCCAGAACAAAATGAAACTAATACCTAACCTCACAGGTTCCTGGAAGGCTCACATGAGGTGTATGAAGTGCTTGGTCTGTAGGGCGTAGGTAACCTGTCAGTCATAAGCACAGCAAAATACTTAAAATAGAATTTTTAGTAGATTACAGGTAGTGCCAGGTGCTTCTCATGAGCGTCGGAGGTAGAGGCTAGTAGTATCTTAAAAAGAACCTCATAAGCTAGGGTCTACTAGTAGCCATCGTTCAGAAGTCAGGAAAGTGAGATTTGGAAAGCAAAGCTTAAGTCAAGGTAACGTGACAGGTATATGGTAGAGCCTGGATTTAAATCTGGGCATATGACTTTTATTTATTTATGTATTATTTGCACATTGTTTGCATGTGTATGCCTGTATGTATTCAATGTGCATTGTCATACTAGTGTGTGTAGGTGTGTAGAAGGTTGGGTATTGATTTCCTGTGTCTTCTCTGATTGCCCTGCACTTAATTGAGACTGTATCTTTTTTTTTTTTTTTTTTTTTAACCCGGAGCTTGTCAGTTCCAGCCAGTCCAGCTAGCCGGCCTGCCTGGGAGATCCCATCTCTTTTGGGATTACCCGGTTTGCCTAGTGTTCAGTTAAGTTCTAGGGATCCCTGTCTCTAGTTGTGGGTATATTCTGTGGTGGAGCTTGAGGTTTTACACAGAGTGTGTAGTGCAGGTGCTCACAACAGAAGCCAGCAGCAAGGACTGCTGATGAGGAAGGCAGTACAGATAAAACATCACAGTAAGTTCTGGTCGTCCTTGGTACCCCTTCCTCTTCATTCACCCTCCCGGTCTGAGCATTGCGGTTAATGTGGTCAATTAAGTTCAGTCATGTGCCCAGATTTAAATCCAGGCTCTACCACATACCTGTCATGTTACCTTGACTTAAGCAGTTAAGTTCAGTCAATCTGACTCCACCCTTTGCATCACAATTATGCAGCCAATTCTCAAATTACTCGCTTCTAATTCTCACCGATTTCAGCAGTTATCAAGTTAAGAAAATGATATGTAACAAGTTAGTTTTTCCAAACTTTGGTGTTACCATTATTATAAGATGATTTGGTAGGCAGAAGGAACAATTTAAAAGCAAGCCTCCAGAATATTTAATGCACATATAAATAGAACAAAAATTTACTTATTTTAATTTAGGTTTAGGGAAAAAATTCCCTAATGTCTCAAAACTGATTTTGTAGATATTGTTGTTAAAAATATAGGACAGCCAGTTGAGAGATTGATATTTGGTAAATAAGAAATAGTACAGGTGAGATGCAGATAAGGTAAGCATCCTGAAATTGATACTTGAGTGCTAAAGCTTGGGGTGTGATTAACTCAAATAAAAGATGAGTGACCCCAGCATAAAACATCTTTATCTTTAAAGAGGTCAGGTGAGGGCATTTGGTTAGAGCGTATATGTAAAAGCTATTCTATTTGAGTTTTACTGCTTTTTTGGAAATACCTTCCTGACACTTTGAGCTTCAGGTCATTGCCTGACAGCCTTCTGAAGGAGAGGGGCAGCTTGAGAGGCTGATGTGTCTGCTTAATTGGTGTTTGGGGACGTTCCTTAGTCTTTGCGGCTCTCCCTAGATTCTAATTTGGACTCGTTCCTCTACAGTTCCGCTGGAAGGGAATGCCGAGCACTCCTTGGGCTTTCTGTTATCTAAAGACAGCTCTAAAGTTTTCATGTTGTTAAAAGTGAAGAAAAGAGGAGCCATGCCTGGAAAATGTATCCATGGCCCTGATAGGAAAAGCTGTTTTCCTTCCCAAAGCTGCCCTCTTGCTTCCCTTAGTCCCATTGCTCTTCCTTGATTTTCCCAGCACACACTGCCTGGTTCTTAAGCACACACTACCCCCAGCTTGGCCTCCATGCAGGCACAGTTCGGTGTTGTTGTTGGTGTTTAATATACTCCTATAAGGATCCAAAGTCAAACTTTTAAAAAGGGTCACATGATTTTGAAGTTGAAAGAGAGTCTGTCTATAAAGTAGTTCAAGTGTCATTGTTCACTGGAGATTTATCCTAGTTGTTTCTCTTTGTGGTTCTTGTTGTTCTTTTTTTCTCCTTAATTGGTTTGGATGATAAATAAAGTTACTCTGGGCAGGGGGAGGGGGTTAACTTTTTTTCCATAGAAAACTTTTTTTATCTGCTGATAAGTAGAAACAGCCCTCTGACCGCCTTTTAGAGATTTACGGCTGTGTTCTGCTTCTGTTTACTAGAAACCTATTTCTTTATTCTGTTTATTAGGAATCCCTGAATACATGTTTGTCTGAAAGTGTTTTTGAGACAGGGCTGTAGATGTAACCAACAGTCGTATTAAATAAGAAACACAGAAACAATGTAAAAGAGAAAGCCGAGAGGTCAGAGCTCAGAGCTAAAAAATCTCACCCTTCCTCCTGCTGTCCCAGCTTCCTGAAAGAGAGCTATATCCTGTCTGTTCGTCTTTTTATAGTATTTTGTTCTGCCTTCTCATTGGTTGTAAACCCAAACACGTGACTGCCTCGTCACTGTCTGAATGTACAGCCCCCTAGGTCTTAAAGACATATGTCTCCAATGCTGGCTGTATCCCTGAACACACAGAGATCTATGGGATTAAAGGCGTGTGCCACCACCGCCACACTCTTGCTATGGCTCTAATATCTCTGACCCCTGGGCAACTTATTTATTAACATACAATCAAAATCACATTTCAGTACAATTAGATTACCACCACACAGGGCCTTGTGATACAGCCCAGCCTGGCTTCCAACTCATGATCCCTCTTTTTCTGCCCTCCTAAATGTTAAGATTATAGTTACATGTCACTTTACCTGGTAAAATAGCAGTTTTTATCCTGCTTTAAAAAGTTAACTTACCACATTAGGATTTAACACATTATTAAACTTTTTATTTTTAGAAAGCTTTGAGTTGCTGCACTGTATTCTGTTACATGGGAATACTATAATTTATTTACTTCATTGTCATCATATATTAGATTTTTAGATTATTTTAAATAATTTGTTTATAATGGTATCCTTTTAAATTTTTATCTAAATTTACGATTATTTTCCTTGGGGTAAGGTTAATTTAAATTTACTGCTGAGCACAGTGGTGCACACCTAGTGTTACACATGTGGTGGTAAGCTCAGTTGACCCAGGAGGCTGAGTCAGGAGGCCTTTTGTGAGTTTGAGGCCAGCTTGGGCTACATAGTGAGTTCCAGGCCAGCAAGGGCTACAAAGCAAGAAAATGTTTCTAAATCAATCACCAATAATTAATTACTACTAATGCTTTTATTTTTTAACTCTCAATTTTATTTTATTTTTAAATTTATTCTGTTAGAATATCATGCAATATATTTTGACCATATTTTTTCCCTGCCCCTCTTCCTTTTTCCAGGTGCTCCCTCACTTCCTTACTTCATGTTCTCTGTCTCTCTTCCTTCTGTTTCTCTTTGACAGTGTTTCTCTGTGGAGCCTTGGCTGTCCTGGAACTCGATCTGTAGTCCAGGCTGGCCTCAAATTCAGAGGTCTGCCTGCCTCTGCCTTCTGAGTGCTGGGATTAATGGCATGTACCACCACACTGAGCTTCTTTCTCTCTCAAAAAACAAACAAACAAACAAACAAACAAACAAACAAAAAACACTAAAAACCAAAACACCACCAACAAAACCCCCAAGGAGTCCCATTTGTGTTCCTGAGCATGGGGCTTGCCTGGAGTTTGCTTGGTACTGTGCTCAGTGTTGACCCCATTGAAGAAAATGAAACCGAGTCTCCTGCCAGCGACTATGGATTGCTCTGAGCTTCTTGGCAGGATTTTGTCTGGCTTGAGTTTGTGCAGTCCTGCATATGCTGTCACAGTCTCTTTGAGCTCCATAAGTACATCTGCCCTGTTGTATCTGGAAAATGTTACTTCCTTGAAGTCGTCTTCCACCGCTGGCTTTCACACCTTCCCACCTCATCCTCTTCTACATAGATCCCTGAGCCTTGGGGAGACAGGTATGATAAAGACATCCCATTTAGGGCTGAGCGCACCAGAGCCTCTCACTTTCTGCACAGTGTGCAGTTGTGGGTCTCTGTGTCAGAAGCAGCTTCTCTGATGAGGGTTGAGTGATGCCCTCTGTGGGTATAGAGGTTGTTTTACTTCAGTATCCATTTAACAGAACAGTAGTAGTAGGTTTTCCCCTACTCCCCATGGCCTATCCAGTCTCAGGTTCTTGCCCTCATTAACACTGTTAGGTATGGGTTCCATTTTATGGAGTGGACCATAAATTCAATTTAAAGAAAAGATTGGTTACTTCCATATCATTCTGCCACTATTGTACCTCAGGGCATAACTTGTAGGGAGTTCATTATTAGAGCTTGCAGGGTTCATAGCGGGGTGAAATTGTTACCTTTCTCCAGTAGCCGGTATAGCACCTTCGAGCACTATGAACACTGGCCGGTAGGGTGAAGCATACATGTGCCACAGTGTATGTGCGGAGGCCAAAGGATGACTAAGACAGTGGTTCTCAACCTGTGGGTCACAACCCCTTTGGGAACAAAGGACCCTTTCACAGGGGTTGCCTAAGAACGTCAGAAAACACAGATGTTTACATTACAATTCATAACAGTAGCAAAATTGCAATTATGAAGTAGCAATGAAAAAAATGTTATGGTTGGGAGTCACCACATGAAGAACTGTGTTAAAAGGTCATAGATAGCATTGGAAGGTTGAGGACCACTGACCTAAGGTATTGGTTCTTGCATTCCCACCTTGTTTGGGACAGGGTCTCTTGTTCACTGCTGTATATACCAGGCTAGCTGGCCTCAAAGCTTCTGATTCTTCTGTTTTCAACTCCCATCAACTGTAGGAGCCCTCAGGGATTATAGGTATTTACTCATATAGCCATGTCTCGATTTTTCATGTGTTCTAGAAGCCAAACTCATGTCATCAGATGGCTTGCCCTGCAAGTGTTAGCCACTCAGCATCTCCCTAGCTGGCAAATGTTATTTTCAAAAGCTTGTTTGGGGGCTGAAGAGATGGCTCAATGGTTAAGGGCACTTGTTGCTCTTGCCGAAGACTACAGTACCCATGTAACTATCTCTAACTTTAGTTCTAACATTCCAATGCTCTCTTTGTGCTAAGGGCACCAGGCATGCACATGGTACACATACACACATGTAGGCAAACACTCATATAGATAAGATAAAAATATGTTTTTAAAAAGCTTGTTAAGTGAAAGGTTGTTGAAATATATTGTGTCATTAATTAATGCTCTGATTACTAAGTTAGAAAGTTTTAAATGCTTGCCAGCTTGAGCCTTGATTTTTATTTAATCCCAAGTTTTCATTTTGTTTTAGGTCTTCTGTGGGTTGAAATGTCTATGATTTTATCTGCCTCCGTCATTCGTGTCAGAGATGGACTGCCGCTGTCTGCATCGACTGACTATGAGCAGAGCACGGGGATGCAGGAGTGCAGAAAGTACTTTAAAATGCTCTCGAGGAAACTTGCTCAACTTCCTGATAGATGTACACTGAAAACTGGACCTTATAACATCAAGTAAGACCTCAGTTTGTTTCATAAGCATTTTCCGAGAGCTTGTCATTTTAGTGAAATTTAAATGGTTGCAATAGAAATGCATGTTTTATTAACTCAGAAGAGCTTGCAAGTCAACAATCATGTTCTGAATTTTGCTAAGTAGTGGTCATGCTGTCAGCCTTTTCTGCAGATTCTCTGGATTTTTTTCTGGCTTTAGAAGACTTTATAGTATTTTTACAGATAATACTTCCTATAATTTGTTCAATAGGTATTAGAGTTTTTACATGCTCAAGACGGTAGCAGGCAAATTGTAATGGAAAATGCTAGAAAGGAAAGTTTTATCCGACTGGGAGGGCAAATTATCCATCTGTCTATCCTTTAAGACTGAGTGACAGGATAGAGTGTGACTTGACTCTGTGGTGACTGAGTCCTTCAGGAAGATTGGTACTTGTGAAAGAAGGCAGTTACATGAAGGATCCTCTGCATGAGGAGTGAGGCTGGAGCAGCGGCTAGTGGAGGAGCCTTGACACCTCTTAGAAGGTAGAAGGAGGAGGAAAGCCAGTGGTGTGAAGCGGAGTGGGGAGTTCGAGAGACGGGAACGGGACAGGCAGGGTCCTCTAGGCCATGGGAGCCTGTTGCCTTATTAATCCTAATGCCATAGGAAGCTGTGGGGATTTTACGCTGGAGGATTGTGTGATCTGGTTTGGGATCTGAGTAGGTTGTACTAGCCACTCTTGAAAGCAGACTGTAAGGGAGACTGAGTGGGAACAGGGTGATGGGTATAAGAGACTGTGGGAGATGATGACTGCAACTTGAACCGGTGCTAATGAAGAGGACGAGTTGGATTCGGGCTACATTTTAGGTCTCACACCCATACATGGTCCTGATAGGCTCTAAGAATATGAAGGAAAAAGAAGAGGTAAGCATCGTATGTAGATTTTTGGCCTTAGAAACTGCATGCATAATGGGGCTAAAATGAGAAGACTGGAGAGGTTAATTGCATTCCATTGTTAAGAGTTCTGTTTGGACATGTTAGGTCTGAGATGCCCATTAGCTATCCAAGGGGCACGGTCAGCTGGATGTATGAGCCTGAAGCTTAGCAAAGAGCACAAGTGGGGGTATTTAGATTTGGAAGTCAGTTTATGATTTGTAATTGCTGTGGAAACAAGTGAGACCACTTTGGACAGCATCCATATGAAACAATTAGAGAACAGTTAACTTGGGGGTCCATGATGCTAATTATGAACATAGAATGAAGCCAGATAATCACAAGGTCCGGGTGGGGTATGTAAGCAAAGAGCTTTATTATTAAGACACTATGTTTTGAAGAGTTAAAATCCACCTAAGGCAGGACAAGGCATCACATCCAAGTGTAGGGAAGGGAGGCAGAAGAAGCAGTGTGTGTGTGATGCTACATGGCAAGTGTGCTAAGTTGTTTGACTTGGTGCTAGTGGATGAAGATTTGCAGGTAGCTGGGAAACAAGTTTGATACCTAGTGTGGGACCAGATCCTGGACTGTCCTGCAAGTTCAGATTGAGGGAAGTTATTTTGATACAGCACATTGCAGGTCACTGCTACGGGTTTGAATGAAGAAAGTCACTTGATTGAAAAACAAGCAGAGGGAGTGGGAAGTGGCATGTCTTCACTCCCTGCACTCAGGAAGCAGAGGCAAGCAGATCTGTAAGTTCCAGGCCAGCCAGGACTACATAGTGAGACTCTGGCTCAAAACAAAACAAAACAAAACAAAACAAAACAAAACAAAACAAAACAGAACAAGCAAACAAAACACTCAGAAACAACAAAGCAAAACCGAAGACCTTAGAACATGGAGTAAGACAGAAGTTTGAGAGAGATAAGGCAGAGAGGTCAACTTAATTTACAGTTTGAAGTAGGAAAATAAAAGTGCAGATGAGAAGGAAAGTGCCAAACAGAAAAAACGGTCAAGCCTGCTGAGGTGGAGTACTAGAGATGAAGCTTCGGAATGGAACAGAACAATAGTGTCCTCAGAACTGAACAGTCCTTGGAGGAGGATTGTTTAGGATGTGAGGAGGAGAGATGATGAAGTCCCATGTGATTTTTTTTCTTTGAGACAGGATCTCACAGTGTCATCCTGGCTAGCCTTGAACTCATTCTGTAGACCAGCCTGGCCTGGAACTCAGAGATCCACCTGCCTCTGCCTCCCCAGTGCTGGGATTAAAGGTGTGTACTCCCATACCTGGCTTTCATGAGATCTCTCTAGTTGAGACAATCTAGTGGAAGGGATGATAGGGATTTTAGAACCATTCACAGAGATACAGTTCAAATTTTGAGGGCAGAAATGCCCAATAAATTTAGAGAGGGCCAGAATAGAACTTTAGAGAATGTCCACAACTACTTGGATTAATTAGTAACTGTAAAATAATGAGATGTTACATTTAATTGGAGTTTTAAGAATTTACCTAGAAAATAACATATTGATGATAGTGGTTAAATTGAATCTAAAATGGCGTTTTAGCCTACTACTACTTAGGTGAAGACAAGGACTTGAAACATTGAAGCATTTAGGCAGCAGGTCTTTTAAATGCTCTCCATCATTCTCAGTTACATTTGTTGTTAGGTGGTGTTGTGGGCACGTCAAAGTTATTGGAGATTGGCTTGAAGTATACGTTAATATTGGTAACTACCTGGCATTAAAAAACAATTTTTTGGTTGTGAGCCTAGCCTTTAATGGCTGAGCCATTTGGCCAGGCGGTGACAGCACACGCCTTTAATCCCAGCACTCGGGAGGCAGAGCCAGGCAGATCTCTGTGAGTTAAAGGCCAGCCTGGTCTCCAAAGCAAGTTCCAGAAAAGGCTCAAAGCTACACAGAGAAACCCTGTCTCGGGGAAAAAAACAAAAAAAAAAACCAAAAAACAAAACAAAAAAAACAACAACAATTTTTTTTTGGTTTTTGTTTTGCTGTATTTTCTTAAAAGCAATATAAATACACTAAATTTTTACTATGTCCCAATTCTATTTAATTATGAATTTCAGATTTATATCATTTATTTTAACCCTATCTTATTCTACACAAAGGATTCGGGCAATTTTCATATACATTAATTCAGGAGGATAAATGAAGGAATCAGAGGAAAGAAGTAGATTTTGGAGACTAAAAAACAGAGGTAACACTTTCTGGAGATGCAAGCACGTAGCCCGAGCATTTGTTAGAATAGACCTGCCAGTACTGTTCTGAATTCCTTGTGTCTAAGGTAAGGTGGGAGAGTCAGTCAGTAGACTCGGTCTTAATTCAGTTTTCCTATTCCTGAGAACTAATGCTCATAAAAGGGGCAGCATTTGGCTAGCATTCCTCAAGTAGCCATAGTAGTGAGCTTTTTGTGACTTTTTTCTTATACTCCTTGGTATAAGGAAATGACATGATATGAAATTTATTTTTTCAGATTGGCTGAATTTTGGCTTTAAATTTTGCTTTTGTATTTACTTTGTGAATGTGTGTGCACATACTTGGTGTATTCACTGCTGCACCCCATGATATATCCCACCCCACATTTAAAGGTGAGAGTACAGCTGTTGGGAGGTGGTGCCCACCTTCTTCCATGAGTGTTTCAGGGATCTAACTCAGGTCGTCAGGCTTGCAGCCAAGTGCCTTTGCCTGCTGAGCCCTCTTGCCAGCACATGATTTTTGTTTTTTTCAGACAGGATCTTAGTGTGTGCCTTAGCTGGCTTTAAATTTGTGATGGTCCTCCCATCTCTGCCTCCTGAGTGCTAGAATTTCAGGTTCGCATACTGTGCCTGGCCAAACAACATGTTTTATGTCAGAGGTTAGAAGTGGGGTAAGTCAATAGAGGTCCAGTCTGGCCTGATCCACACATATGGTTCAGATACATGTAAATGCATAGATTATGTAACTTTGGTAACCAGGCATAAAAACATCTCTGCATGTTGTTTTTGTAGTCAAGCTTTAGAAAAGGGTTGGAGAACAGGACTTTAGCTGTAGTTGCAGAGAAGAACCTGATATCATATGTTTTCCCCCATTAATAAGAGGTCCCATTGGTTGGGTTTGGACTGTTAGGGTGTTCACCGTATGGGCAGTGAACTCACTCTGATATAAATTGGCAATTTATTTACACTCCTTGACGTACTTTCTTTCCCTGACCTGCTTTTCTCCCTGAGGAATTAGGTGAAACCTGAGGGCTCTGCTGCAGTGGTAACATGGCACAGGGCCGGAAGCTGCTGCCCCCAGGTGCCCCTCTTTGTCCTGGCCGTGCTGAGTATCTGTCTTCCCGTCAGGCCCAGCTACAGCCTGCTTGTTCGGAGTCCCTTCTTCCCCATTACTAGTACCTCATTTTCCCAACGTTCTCGCTGCTGTCTTCACAGGTTGCTCATGGAACTTGTTCAGCTGCTCTTTTTCACCAACGAAATACTAAATTCTCTAATTTGCTCTTTTTAATTGGATCATAACTCATTGAGGTGACCCACCACAGCCTAATCCATCTTAAATATATACTTATTTTTAATTGAATGTGCGCGTGTGTGTGTGTGGGGGGGGGGGAGGGAACGCTGTATACGTGTGGATTTGTGTACATGTGAGTGCAGGCACTTTGGAGTCCTGAAGAGGGGCCCAGATCCCTGGGGGTTGGAGTTTCAGGCTGTAGTGAAGCCTCCTGATGTGGTGCTCGGAACAGAACTCAGACCCTCTGCAGGTAGTACACGTTCCTAACCATAGAGCCACCTCTCCAGCCCAGCCTAAGCTATTTACATTTCATCTTTTAGTATAAGCTTTTCAAACCTGTGCAGAAATTGAGTGTCAGAGTAACTAAGTTATGATTTTCGGCTAAGCCACTTAGTCCCTCACATTGACGTCTCGTTGAGCTGGCAGAGAAAGACTGGAGTTTGGAGGGGAAATACAAGAATAGTAATGTTTCAGTTTCTTCCTCTCTGTATGGGGAAATGATGGCTTCTTTCCCGTGACTGCAGCGGCCTGAAGGCCACTTTGCTGGTGACGCACATTGCTCGGAGTACGGCTAGCGTTAGTGCAGTCC